TATTATTGTTGGTAAAGGCAAACCAAAGGTATGAACAATGAAGATACACAATGGATAATAATTTCCTTACAGTTCCAGAAAGACTGTTATATCACGGACAGAAGCAAATATGTTATGAAATAAGGGCTAATTATGATTCTTTGTGCCACAGATGGTTTCTCACTGCCACTTGAGCCTACATCAAGTCTGTCCCCCATGGCAACAGAAAAAAAAAGGAGGGCGGAGGGTGCAGTGCAGGAATCTAGAGATTAATCACGAAAGTTAATTGTTCTCTGTAGCAATAACAATGTGGAGGTATTGTTTCTGTATTTTATAGACAAGAGGTGAACACAGTGGGGGAAAAAATTGAGACTGACTAGAAAAAAATGGTGAGATGTAGGAATGCAAACAAGGATAGAAAAAAAAGGGAAGAACTTTTCAAGGATAAGAATCTCGATAAATAGCCCTTGAGGAATGTAAAAGCAATTTGTTTGCAAGAGTACAAAAAGAAGTTTATTACCAGACATTCTGAGTAAATGGCAAAGTGTATATAAATTCATGGTTTCTGACTCTACCTGAGATGGGGGGCTGCATGCTATTCAAGCAGTCATTTTTCTTAACACCAGATTAATGGTTTCCAACCCAGGCTACCCATTAGCATCACCTGGGCAGCTTTAGAAAACAGTCATGCACATCTCCCACCCTCAGACGTTTTATGTAATTGGTTTAGTGTAGCACAGAGAATAGAATATTTTAAAGGCTGGTCTCTAGGTGATGCTAATGGGTATCTAAGGTTGAAAAGTATTGTCTTATCAGGGTTCAGGAATCTTTTTTCAGTAAAGGAAAAGACAGTGAATAACTTAAGTTTTTGTTTGCCAGTAGGGGTTCTGTGGCAACTATTCAACTTTGGTTATAGCCCCGAAAAGAGTCACAGACAATAAGTAAGTGAGTAGGCATGACTGTGATTCAGTAAAACTTTAATTTACAAAGGAAAGTGGTAGATTTAGAGTATGCAATACAGTTGAATCGCACCAGCCCTTAGTTTCCTATACCATCTGTATGCCTCTGACTTTTAACTAAAGATCTCTCCACTCCAGTGGGAAAACATAGGTCATTGGCTGGAAATCCTTTCCTAGCTTCTCACCTGAAGACTTATATTTGCCCTCACTTTGTTGCCTCTACCAGAAGCTGTATCCCTTTCTGTTTGCCAAGGCAAATCTAGTCCTTTCACTTATACTCAATCCCATCACTCTCCCCAATTCCTTTATGGCTTCACTCTATGAAGCATCCTATTTCCTATGCCATTAGTTTCTCCTTCTCTACTGTCTCTTTCCCTTCATTTAATATACCCAAGTGATTTAATCAAAAAACTTTCCAAAATATCAATACTGTGTCCTTCTCGAACCAATCCCCCATGTTCCCTTCCCTGAGAAAGTCTAATCTACCGCCTCTTCCCATTCATTCCTCACACCATTATAAGTCTGGCTTTTGTCCCCATGACCGCACAGGATGTGATCCTGTTGGAATCACTCAAGGCCTCCCTATCTTCTTAGTGCTACTTGATTTCTAGGAAGCACATGACATTGCTGACCTTCCTGGAAACTACATCCTCACTTAGGACTCACAATATCATGAAAATGGCCGCAATGATTTCTTCTGCTAGCTGCTTTCAGGATGGTATTCTCTAATATTATTCAAAAGTTTTATATGCTATATATTCTCACAACTTCTCTAGTGGTGTAAACCACCATCACCAATGCTCCCACATTTTGTCTCTCGTATCTCCTTCTCATGCTCCAGGCTCATATTTTCAAATATTCATTTCAAGTTATATTCAGGCATTTTCTTCCCCAGATGTGTTCGTTTTCCATTATTTCCTAACTGCTGAAGATAAAAGTCTCCCTTAAAATTCTCTGTTCCTCAAAAATCCTGAGAACCCACAATTGTGTCATTTTTGTTTTAAAAAGTCTCTACTTGAACATGAAACTCTGTATCTCTATATCACTGTGATACCCTGCAGTGATTGACAACTATACATTTCATTTTCATTTTCATTTTTACATTTTTCATTACCCTACAGCTTTACAATACTATGGAATTTTAGGGGTTTAGTTCTCATATTTCAAGACACATTTTTTAGTATTCCCACAAAGAGAGCTCCACTTACATCTCATTACTCACTAAAATGACTACTCTATTCATTTTCCCCACCAATTCCTCCTTCATTCCTCTAGACTTGATTTTTAAAGGTAGTTTGTTTGCTATATCTATTCACACTCCACATTAGAGTTAAAAATCTGGTAACAATCTTCCACTTTCACTTCTTGACTTATTTCACTTGGTATAATCACTACAAGATTCACTCACTCAGTTCACAAAGGCATGATTTCATCTTTTTAATTGATGAATAGCATCCCATTGAATATATCATTCGTTAACAGGCTTTTGGGGCAATCATACCTTTTAAACTACACATTAGCCATGCTACCTCTCCCCTCAAAGTCCAATCAGATACCAAATCTTGCTGTTTCTACCTCTACAGTATCTTATTTATCCTCCTAGCTACTGCCACTGCAACAGCTTTAAGACATACCTTAGTCATTCCTTACTGAAATTACATTCAATTTTATCCCAACAGATTTTTTTTACTTCTCAATATCAATAGGCACAAATTTCTCTTCTTATGGTTACTTCCTTCTTAGGTCATTAATTGTCCGTTATCATTTCCCTTTACCAAGTGACAGTTAATAAAACTGCATACAGTATTTCAGTAGCAAGTTTTCCCTTCTCTCCTTTATTAAATATTATATTTCCATGACTTTTTGGTATCAGCAACACAAATTACAAATCCATTAAGACAAATTGCAGAGCTTGGGCACTACACCTTAAATGAGAACATAACAAAAGTAGAGCATCCACTAATAATGTTGATCAATATGTTGAAATAACTGCAAAGCACAGCTAATACAGAGTAATAGAAAGACCTGGAACTTTTATCCTGGAGAAGATTCAGATTTCTTCCCTGGAGCAGGTATTTTTCTTGTATGATTCCAGGATGGTCAATTGGGCATATTTTCTCCTTAATGAAAGCATGTATCTTTTTCTTCAGTAGAAAATATTTTATATTCCTTAATAGGAAATGAATATAAAATACCTTGCATTTTGCTATTTATACAGATCATAGAAATGAAGCCCATCATCATAAAATGTTGAAATCCTTGAAAAGGGGGAGCTTAAGTGAACATTTACCAGTTTTCTAGAATAATGGTCCATTTGACTGCTAGGGCATATATTTTTTCACATCCATTCACTACAGGCAACAGCTTTGACACACTTGGGATGCCTGAATATTACCTAACTTCAACAATTCTTTCTCATTGCCACTTAAATATTATTTCCAAAAATAGTTTAATCGTGTTGTTGCAAATTTAAGAACATTCAACTTTTTTCACCAGGGCACCGCAATGATAACCACAACTCAGTGGCCTTCCTAATGCTTTACTAGTAAGCATTTCCTGGTACATGTCCCCTATGTCATCTGGGATGTGCCTCTCAAATGTATGCCAGCAGGTTCCAGTTCTTTCCATGTCTGCATAGCAGCTTCAGAAAGCAGTCATTTCCTTAAAAACCTACCTTTGCATCTGGTTCTGTTGAGGCAGCCTGTTGATCTAAATATGGTTAATTAAAACCCTTGACTGTTAAATTATTTTACCTTCATGCATAATTCTGAAAAATAAATCGTCTTGCCTATCATTTATAATAGCAATGTATTCATAAAATGACAGATTTCATTAAGTCCACAATAAATTCAAATCTTTCATTTGTTCAAAGAACAAAACCTGGCCAATTATTAAACAAGAATTTAAAATGGCATGGTAGGAATGCTGACGACAACCAGGTTTTAAGGACCATGCTCTTTTTAATTTTAATATGAAAGAGACTACTCAGTTTATCCAATCAATGGGTTCTTGGCAGTCTTACTATCCTCCCATTTTGGCCTCTGAAAAATAGGGTTATGACCTGGTGAAACTGCCAAAAATCTTTCTACAAATTTGAGTCTGAAATTCAGGAAACAGTGTGAACAAGAGTGGTGACTACTGCAGTTCGAGAAACCAATTTCTCTAAACATTATAGGGATCCTTCACAGTCCTCTAGCAGGAAGATTGGCAAGTCATTCCCTTCTTTTAGAGACATCCTATCCTTCTCTTAAAATACAATAAGTTCAAAACAAAGATTAGAAACTATTCTTATATTAAGTGGTCTCCTGCCATCACTCAAGGAATCTACTGATATGAATGACATTCTAACCCTGGTACCATATCTTATCAGCCTATATTCACATGTCAAAAAAACCCCTGTCAGATTAATTTGGCTCCATCCTCTGAACTGAATTGTCTACACTAGTTATACATTTCTTGAAAGAGGCCCCACATTTTAGCTCTGCTCACGACACACTTGTAAAGAAAAGGCTAACAGGAATGCATATATTAGGAGAGGTTAAGTTATTCTTGATGTAGATACAGCATTTGAAGGAGAGGCATACAGCAAGCAAGAGTTAATCCAACTGAGGATAAAAAACAAGAACATTTCTAGAACTGTACTTTATGTGCTCGAGTGAATCTAAGAAACAGGTCTCATTAGATTCTCTAGGAATAAACTCAAATATTTTGTTTGTAGAAATAGTTACAGAGTTATAGAAATGTTCTTTTCTTCCTCAGCTGCAAAATGAGATGGGAACAGTGATCATTATAATAAATGCTATGCAAAAATAATAACCTAAATGTCATTGTATACAAGAGGTTTAGAGGGTCTTGGATTTCATAGCCAACATGTTCTCTTCACATGATTAATTGGTAATAGATAAAATTTTCACAGGAAGTTAATTTGCTCTTTCAAATGAGGTATTGCCATCAAGAACTCTTTCTCACCTCACAGGAATCTTTACTGTTAATACATATGAACTATATTTCACATCATATGAAGAGTAGGTGGTTGATACATGAACACAGGAAAAGACTTACCGAGGTGTAAAGGTATCCCTCACTGTTCATTGCCAAATACAGCTTGGTTTGAACTCCTTGAATGGCCACCACTCGGAGACCCACAGGGATGAGGTTAAACAGAGCTGAAATTTAAAATGACACGTGTCAATAGTGTTGTAATTGTGGATTCTATAGTTTCCCAATCTTTCAAGCAGGACCAGGGGTCCTTCAAAACTATCATATCCTAGCGAAGAATAGAAAGATATATTGTCATATGAAAAACAGAGAGAGAGAGAGAGAGAGAGAGAGTCTTGTCTACCTTTTTTATCAATCACCTAACTGGGTCTCTAACTATATATTTTCAAGCACCCAGAAGAAAATGGAAGACAATTTCATGGCTTATACAGTGCTACAGGCATTGGATATTGATGTCTTTGGAGAGCTCCAGTATCAGGAACCAGTCAAAACCCTCAAATTTTGAACTGATCTCTTAGATAACTGCTGAAATCACAGACAGAGGTACCCATCTCCAGGAGAGGCATGGTGCTTAGACGATGATCACAATGCTAGTTCATTTCTAACCTAACTATACTACTTTCACTGCTTCAACCTCAACGGAAATCTCAGCTTTACTGGGGAGAGTCTCTTCTCTACTCATATTCCTGAATTTTTTAAAAGAGCCATATATTGTTTAGTGAACTGACATTTTTCAAGACAGGGTTGATAAGGTCCTAGCATTGTTTTCTGGGGTGAAGATAATAGGAATACAGTAGTGAAATTAAGAGGGTTGTTTGTTTATTGTTTTTCCTTTCCTGGTTATTGCTTATAAGGACTTTTTGTGTTGATGTTTCAAAATACTTGCAAGTGAGCAACTGGCTACTGCCGGGCAGCTTTCATTTCTCTATTTGAAGGTTTGACTTCATAAAACTTACACCCAGGCTCTCCTCCCAATAGCACACCACTCACTGGAGAAAAACCAGTGGGTGTCCTCCCCCAGCCAGCTGTCTACTCCCTCCCACACCTCGAACAAAAATAAAACAGTACATTTTTACAATGTAACGCTTGCCACACACATCTTTTGAAAATAGCCCGTGTACCTTGCTCTCGAGTCATGGCCCCATGTTGATGGTTTTTAACTCCCGTGTGTAACTTTATAGAGGATTACAAATGACCAACTCTCATTTCCCTGAACAAGCACATAGAGAAATCACCCTATAGGTAAGAATCACTTTCCCAGGATTTTTTCTCATTGTGCATATATATATATATATATATATATACATATATATATATATTCTACCGCAGTAGTTGGATGGGGGGTAATTACAATGAGGAATATTAATGGAGAACTAAATATTTCATCGTGATCCTATAAAGTATCTTTCCCTTAAAATCATGGTGTTACCAAAGAGGAGCTAGGACATATTGTACAGTTCAAAATACAAGTGTTCCTACCACATGCCACTGATGCCATTTCATTCAATACTCATCATATTAAAAGCTGTGGCCTTCTGTTATGTGAGGTAAAGGAAAGTAATTGCACAGATTGCAAGCTAGGATCTCATGCTATATTTGACAGTGCAATCACAGGAAAAAGTCTATCTCTGAATATGATACTTTTATATATTTATATATAAATACATTTATATATATTATCTACTTCTGCTTGGTGATTTGGTTAGAGCAGGTGCTCAACGAATATTTGTGCACTGATAGAAGCATTGTTTTGTAATAAAATAGCTCATAATCCCATTATATAAAAGCTCAGAGTTAAAAATTCTAAGATCAAAAAAAATTCTAAGATCTACAAAACCAAAAGAAATCCATATGGGTTTGGTTGAAAACCATACCATAGACAACTAGAATATCAGCATGTGTCTGAATCCTAGGTTAGTCAGAGTAGTTGATGACAGTGATAAGTGAAATTCAGAATTGCTTCTAGAATTTCATTTTTTCTAATATCTTGTAGTTCCATAGTTCTCTCTTAATCCAGCTTATATTGAGCACTAATAAAGAGAAAAAAGTGTTTGATTTTTCACTGCACGTCACAATCACTTTCAAATACCAGGAATTTGAAACCTGCAAATGCAGGTTTTAATAAGCAATACAATGTTCATATTCTGGGCCTAAGATCTAAGAGGAAGAGAAGCCAATCAACACTAATCCATGCCCGAAATTGGCTATTCATGAATGGTATTACCAATCTAGTAGAGCATTCCCTTTTCACTATTACCATAAATTTTCATGAGATCTGACTCAAAACAATACTCCCTTTAAAAAACTGCAAGAGAACAGCCTAAATGAATAGTGGCTGGTTAGACTTGTTCAATCTCTTCTTTAATAATTTAAGATAAATCATAAACTGGGTTCATTTCAAGACTACAAGGGCATTCTTTCTAGATAACAATGCAAAGAAATTATATCAGAGACAAGCTTGAACAGAATCAGTATTTTACTACCTACTTTCTCTAAATCTGGAATACTTCTTCACTGAACATATTATTCTGATTAGGATAAAACACTATAAATGTGAGAAAAAAATGAGTTTTATACATGCAAAACACAACCAAATTCTGAAATCTTATCTTCCATCCAAACTTTAAAAAATGACTTTAAAAGAGAAAGGTACCTTCAATGCTTTTTTTTGTATTGCGTCCTTCTAAGCACAATTCAACACCTCTACCTCACAAGGATGTTTTTCTGAAAGATATGCACAGATCTGGTATTTGTGTTTGTGGACAATAACCCAAAGGCGTGTCTATTTTATCAGCTGGACTAAGGCTAATTTCTCAAAAAGAGAATTGAATAAAAGTATTTCTCAATGTAGATTCGGAATCACCTGACATTGTTAAGCTTGTACCAGTATAGCAGGTTTGAAGAGAAAAGTTGCGTATACTTTTAAAATAGCCCATACCATACCAAGGTGGATATAATAGAATTGCTGCCAGGAAATGTGTTTTCAGGGAGAAATACATAATTTACAATGGCTGGTTCACTCATGATGAGATCTTATTGGACTGACATTTACCATTGTAATAAATCTCCATAAGGTCAGCTAAATGCATAATTATCAGGCATCATGTTTTTAGAAACAGATATACCTGGGTAAATGTGAACTGGTTTGTTTAATCATGATCTTGATTCCCATGTCAGAATTAAATCAACAAAATTAAGAAAATTGAAGAAAAATAGAACAGGTTTGATGGAAACACCCAAAATTAATTTAAAAAACAAAAATGTAAACAATACCAGCAAGAGCAAGAAAATACTGAATCAATATAAGAGTGACAGTTGAAAACAACAAATTGTGTTTTTGTTCAATGTTTTTAAAATCAATAATGAGTACCAAGAAAAGTTCTTAGCTTTAGGGGAAAAACTTCTATGGCCAGAATTCTATTTTAATGATGTTAATGATTTATATTGTTTCACGATGCCTTATGTGAAGAGAAACCAACACATTAAACTGTGATCATACATGGCATTAAGCATACAGTAAAACCCCACTGACTTCTTTTGAAATATTTTTATTTGTATGTTTCATGTCTGATAATACTTACCATTGGTTTACTCACCTCTCTTATCATTTCACCTGTCTAAACACAGCCTCTGGTTAGCATACTATGTTCTTTTAAGGTCTAACAATATTATTGGTACACAGTAATGCCAAATGTATTAGTGCTATAAAACAACCAAAGATATAAGCTTCATATATATGAAGGAAGTGGAGAGTAAAATCTATCAGATAATTTAAAGCTCCAGGGTAAGGAATGTAAACTTCATTTATTTAATCTGTATGAATACATGCGTCTGTGTGTGAGTATGTGTATATTCTAAAGTGATTACTTAGTATGACCTTGATAATTGGTGTTTCTTCTTATGGACTTGGGGGCCACACTAGACAGTACTCAGAGGATATTCTTGGCTAAGTGATCAGGAATGATCCCTGGTGATGCTCAGGGTACTAAATGTGGTGTCAAGGATCAAACCAGGATTAAACAAAGTGTCCACATGCATGTCAAGTGCCTTATTTCCTGGACTACGCCTCCGGGTTTGATCTCAAGCTTAATGTTATTTATATGGCACTGCAAATGAATCCTCTACTTTAAAAAAATATTTTCATTTCAGAAAACATGTGAGCAATAGACCCAAATATATTTCTCTGATTTTGATCTGGAGAAGAAGCTAAAAATAAGGGAAAAAATTTATTGGGGCTTCATAATCATGAACTTACCTTCAAGAAAGCCCAACAGATCCATTCCGCTGAGGCAATGTTGGGAAACATAGCGAGCAGTGTACGTTCTCTAATGCCTTCCTCTAATACCAATTTATAGAGACCATTTATGGGAATGTTTTATTGCTGATCATCATGTACCAATGTCTGTTATATGATTACAGTAAACTCTCTGTTTACACTTGACTAATGCCTTCAAATAGAAGAGTACACATAAAAGAACATCCTGGATGTTCTGTAGAATGTTAATATCACAACAGCAATAGCACTGTGTAAAAGTGTAAAGCACCATTTGATATGGCGTCTCATCCTAGGAACCAACAGAGCTTTCTTCAAGGGTAACTAAAGGTGACTTTCTCTTGAGGTCAACCCAAGTAGCATTCTCTAAGGGAATTAAGTATTTCACACTTAACAGGGGGACTCTTGTCTATAGCTTTGCTGTCGCTAGCCAAGCATCTCTTTGAAAGCCTAAGAAGACATTCAAAATGGCTTGCCTTGGCTGTTTTCTTAGGTAACAATGATGATATTTCTGGGAAATTCTTACATTCTGAGGAAAATAAGATCAAAATCAGAAAAAAATAGGGCGTGGATTCTTTGTAGGTGTTTTTAGTCTCTGTAGCAGAGACTAAAAACAGAACTTCAGAAATCTGTATATTACAAAATAATAATTATCAGTGAGGAGAGGGCTTCACTACTTTTGAGCTTGTTTGCATTTATTTGGGGCAGAAGGTATACCCAGCAGTATTCAGGGCTTACGCCTGGCGTGGCGCTCAGGGATCACTCCTGATGGAGCTTAGGGGACCATATGTGATGTTGGGGATCAAACCCAGGTGGTACCTGTGCAAGCTGAGTACCTCATCACGGTACTACTACTATTACTGTTACTGCAAATAAAACGTAGATAAGAAGAGGTTATGCAATATCTTCAAATCACCTAATTTCAATTATCACCAGTAAAACTGATTTAATTTTGATTTGCCATTTTAGTTCACCATTAAGGTCTCCAATTTAGTCCTTACTTAAACTATGGTTAAAATAAAGCACTAAGAAGAAATCTCGTTATCCACCCATGGAGGTTATTTCAATGTTCAAATCCCAGTTAGTCTCAGAGTTACCAGTGTGTGTGGAGGTGGGGGTTCAGAGAGAAAGGCTGAAAAGGTGAATCTTCGTGACATGAAACCACTCCTCACTCTTGGGCTGAGGTGGGCTCTTGGGAGTAGAGATAATGTGCTATTTCAGGATTAGTGTGTGGAACAGTCAATTCTCAAGAGGAGGCAGGAGTAATACAATCAACGGATGATCATAAAAATCTAACAAGTTTACTATGGAATGACATTTTGATTGTGCCTCAAACAGTGTGAACATCATTGATTAGGTCAGTATTTGCCATGTCGTCATGTTCAACTTCTTCCAGGTTAACCGGGCTAAACAGGATTGTATATCGTGAGTACATTTTAAATTCGTTTGCAGGAATCATAGCAAGGATTGTTTATAAAAGGAAAGAAAACAGCAAAAAACAACAACACAGTGTCAACTATAAGCCGGAAGAGACTATTTATTTTGCAGTTACTTACTGTATGTGCTGTCCTCATCTTTTGTTCCATCAATGGTTCCATCTGCCTGCAGCTGCAAGTGGTAGCCTTGTCGGCTGTATAGTTTGGTAACTATACCCTTAAGCTGAGGTTCTGCAACGAGAAGATGATTTTAATCACTTGAGAAGTTTTTACATGGAGTTGCAAAAACTAAGGAATTCAAAATCCTAATTTCATTTGCAAATTTTAGTGTAAAATGTCAAACTCCACCTCTGAAGACATCCTGGAAAAGAGAAAATAAAATTCTGAGTTGCCGAAGCAATCTCCAAACGAGAAAAAAGAATCCGCTTGATTTCTACCTAGGAACATGGGTAAAGCCCTAAAGCCTCGCACAGAAATCAACAGTTTTTGGTAGTGTGGTTTGGCATACAGAGTGGTTCTCTCTCTCTCTCTCTCTCTCTCTCTCTCTCTCTCATTGAACATTCAAACTGGGTTGGCAAATGGCATATTCTACCTTTTAACAGTGTGCCACTTTTCATGTGAAAGGAAATGGATAGATTCAGTGTCCATTTCAGTGTTCTGGACCAAGGGTCATGAAACTCACTGTCAGAAATTTCCTTCAGAATTACCTCAATTTGATTAAATAGCCCCAACGTCCTAAGAAGCTTGAAAATGCATATAATCTGGATCAAAGGATTTATATTTAGCAATGTGAGAAGTGATTGAAAAAGGGGAGGGGGAGAATAAAACAACCATTACCAGACACTCATTAATTATCTTCTGGAAATAAATTGGTGAAACAGCCAAGGTCTTTTGTTAGTGGAGAGGAAAGAAAATTAGTTCATATTTATTTTCAAGTTTAATCACATAAATATATTATGCAAAATGTGTATTCAAAAATGAAAATCATTTTCAATTATGAATCACCACAGATTAATAAACTACTCAATTATCAATAACAGCCGTGTTATCCAAATTTTGCTCTCACTGAATACAGACACCTGCACCGAAATAGTATGTATGTGATTACTCGGGCTACATAATCATGCTTTGCTAACCCCCCTTGTAAAGCCAGTCTAATTTACAGCTAATGCCTCGAAAACTTGGTGCAAAGCGAAAATGAATATCTGCGTTCCATTCCAGAGAGGGTAGAACCCATCCAGAGAGAAATAACAGAAGGGTAAACAAGTCTGAAATTCGGTAACATTTACTTAGTCCAAGGTAAGAAAGGAGCACGAAGGATGAATTTGGTTTTGAACGGCTAAACCCGCTGCCTGTTTGCCTGAAGAGCTCGCTTGACGCAACCTGACACCCAGCGCAGAGAGAATTTCCCCCGGCGTCGGAATATCCCGCTACTCTGATCAGGAGGCAAAAGAACCTACGATCTGGCCAGGACTTTGGATTCTCTCGAGTATTTCATGTTACTTGTAGGGAATTACAGTTTGACTAGTCAGAACGCATCACTAAGCTCCTTGCCACACGGTGCTTCGGCTCCACTTAGCCCCTCCAGCAAATATTTCGAAGCTGCACCCCAAGTCTGTCCGGGAAAGCTTTCCAAAAGTGATCAGAGACACAAAATGCCTAGAGAGCGGAAGCCCACTTCCCCTGGGGGACGCCAGCCTCCAGGGAAGGGTCGGAAACGCCGAGGATCCAGGCGACGAAGGGATTCCCCGCGTTTCCCGGGAGGTGAGGGGTCGGCAGGGGAGGGGTATGTTAGTGGCGTCGGTCCAGCTCCACGCACACAATTTCCACAACCGCACACGCGATGACCATGCCCGGGTCATGCCATCCTGGAACGCACACGCACATGTGGCCCGTCCGATGCAGAGTTCGCACCCCCGGGACTGGGGTACGGGGGTCCCCCAGGCTCTGCGCCTGTCCCACGGCTGTTGCACTGCAGCAAGCCGGCTCGTGTTAGAAGGGAGCCACCGTTCCCCAAGCACGCACCCCGGCTTGGTGACCGCGGCCGAGCCCTGGGGTTTGGAGGGGGGGACCGGCGGCGAACTCCCCTCAGCGCCACTGCACGCCCCATAGCCCCCTCGAAGCCCGGCAAAGTGAGAGAGGGGCGAGGCAGCCCACCGCACTCCACAGCACCCAGCTCCCCCCAACCCCCCAAATTCCCACTCCCGCCGCCCCTTCCAACCTGGTCTCCTCCGGCGTCTCTTCTTGGAGCCGAAGAGTTTGACCCGGGAAAAGACGTTTAACTTGTTTTTGTCGCAGCTGGTCTTCCCCTTGCTCGGGCTGCTGACACACTTGCAGGCGTTGGATTTCTCGCGCTCGCGGGCTTGGCGCTTCTGACGGATGAGCGAGCTGGCGATCGCCGCCGCCATGGCCACGACGCCCACCAGCACCACCACTGCTCCGGCCGCCCCGCGCGGGCCGCGGCTCCTCCTCCCGCTCGGCCGCCGCCGCCGCTCGCCGGCGTCTCCGGGGGCGGCCGCGCGCTAAGGGCTCGGCGGCGGAGGGGGGTCGGCGGGCGTGTGCCCCGCGATCGGGAGATGGAGGGGCGAGGGGGGCGTCGGGCGGCCGCGCGGACGATCAGAGACCCCCGCGGGCCGCGGGGTCCGAGCCGACGCCGGCCGTGCCGGGGCCCGGAGGCGGCGAGCGGGCTAGATGCGGCGACGGCAGAACTGCGCGGCTGCGTGCGCTCGGCCCCGGCGCCCTGAGGACACTGTGCGCGTCCGGGCGGCGCGGGTCGGACTTCGGCGGGGCCCCCGCCCCGGAGGAGCCGCGGAGGGGGGCGGGCGGCGCGGGAGGGGGGGGGGCGCGCGCGGGCGCCGGCGGGCGGGAGGCCGGGCGAGGGCGGGCGCGGGGAGGAGGGGAGGCGGCCGCGCTAGGTGTCAGGGGTGGGGTGGGGGAGTCCGCCCTCGCCCCCGGGGCCCCCCCCCCGAGACCCCCCCTACTAGTCCCGGCAACTTCTCGGCCCGGCGGTGTGGAAAAGTTGGCCTCGACCGGCCTTCCGACGGGGCTCGAACAGGTAACGGCCTGGCGTCATCGCGGCGGCAGCGGCGGCGGCTCCCGGCGAGGCACTGTCTCGGCAGCCGAATGCTGTCGCCGCCGGCACCCTCCGGAAGAGCGCGACGGCCTCCCTGGGGGGCCCCCTCCCTCCGCCGCCACGGCCCCTCCCTCCCGGAGCCCGGCCCGCTGGCGCCCGGCCGCCCCCCGCCCCCGCCGCACCCCTACCCCACAGTCCGGGGCTGGCCCGCGAGGGCTGAACACCTGTAGGGGCTCCGGCACGTCCCAGCCCCGTCCCCTCCCCGCCCGCCCCCCCAGATCGCGCCCCCTCCCGTTCCCAACCGGAGCTCGGGGAGGAAAGTGACGGGGGAGGCTCAGGGAGGAGGTAGAAGCCTTGGAGGAGACGGGGGAGTGGCGGCTGGGGTGTTTCCTGGGTGGTAAGTCTGAGTGGGTCGGAGGAGGCTGGGGTTGGAGACCTTGAGAAGTTGGTCAGCCCCTGTCCTCGTCTGGGACTCACCATGACCCCCAACCCGGCACATCTCCGCCCCTCCGCCCCCCGCTGGAGGACGGCCCCCAGGTACACTTGTAGCCTTGCTGGAAGGCGGCCAGGGCTCCCCAGATGGCTTCAGCCCCCGCGCCTGAGCCGCCACTGCAGAGCTGCGCCCGCACACCACGCTGCCACCCAGCGGTTTTTGCTGACTTTTCATTTCAGGCCAACGTGTGCCGTCTGAACCCCGTTTTCCCTCTGCGCCCCCTCATTCCCTGCCGGCTCCCAGCAGAAAGCTGGCGTCGTGTACCATACATAGTCAGTGCTGGGGAAACGCATAGCAGAGCCTCTCTTGTCTGGCCAGACTCCAGTCTCCTAATTTCCTTTTTTTTCCTCTCTTTTCTCTTTTCTGTTGTCTCTCTGCTCTCCAAGCTCAGGCCCTCCCTCCGACTCAGAAATCCAGTCTGACTGTTCTGCTGCCATCTCTCCCTTCCCTGTTTCTTCACCTCTTCATTTGCAGGACTGGAAGGGATGTTGTTTAAGTTCAAGAACTCTGCGAAATGGGGGCACACTGGTGTGGGGAGTATGTGCACCTAAACCATTGTTCACAGGATTGTAAATCACAGCCCCTCAATCAATAAAAACTTTTTTGTGGTTTTTGGTTGTTGTTGTTGTTGTTGTTGTAAAGAAGAATGCAGAAGAGAGGAGTAAAACCAGACATCATTGCTTTACTGTTTGACTTCATTTCTGATGCCAAAAAGGAAGCCCTTAATAGTAGGACCTCCGGGGCTGCTACATTCTCTTTCCTGAACCTCTTCCCTCATCCTTCAAGACCTTTATTGAGCTGCTGTAGGTGGACAAGGAAATGCTCAGCCTCCGGCCCTCCTTTTCTGGCCTGAACTTCCAACTAGGAAACATGTTCAGACTTCATAGTCTACTGGACCCGGATAAGCCTTCTGCCCATTTCATTTCACCCCTGGGGAGCAGCTGCCTGCTTTCTTCTCACTTTTTACAAGTGTCTCTTGTTCAAGCATGTCCCAAACACTACTAGGTGTCTGCAAAGGCAGGATGCAGGAAAGGATGCAGAGGCTGAGGCAGATCTTTATAGGACATTGATGCCAAATAGTCTAGTTCCTTGTACTCTTCCCCCTACATAAAAGTCTTACAGGTAGAAAAGAGGTTTAGCATTGCAAGTGAACGACTTAGCCAGTTCTTTGACCTTCTCTTCCTTGGGGAAAACCCTACTCTGTTCCCACTGAAGTTCAAATGCATTGAAATTAAGATTGGATCTCATTCCCCACTATATTCCTGTCTCCAGGTACAATGCCTGTTACAGAGCTGATGCTTAATAACAGCTGGACATAGTGGACCACTGGCTGATTTATATGGATTCTAAAGAGTTGGAGGATATTTCTCAGCCCAGTATCTTTGCTTTGGGTACTAGGTCACTTGAAGAGAAATACTCTCACTACAGTCTTAGCAGGGCCAGATATTGGGGTATCAGATAGGCGGTTAAGAGGTTCCCAACCACCCTACCTGTTTTTACCTGCTGTTGAATTCCAACCCTCAGGAGACTTATTTTCTTTGCTCTTGCTTCTCTCTTGGGATCCTGAACCCCAATAGGCATTGAAAAAGCAGAAAAAAAGAAGTGCTGCTCCAGAAAAGGGATAGAATGTGGGGAGAACAAGGTGGAGTCGGGGGTGTCATGAAG